CCAATTGCTCAAAAGAGATCAGAGATCAAATATTGTCAATCTAATAATGCTTAAATTCTTTTACATTATTGTTTTATAAAATACTTTCACTGTTCATGGATCATTTCATTATAAATATTATGCTAAAATCTATTTTGCGCGCAAATCATACTCTGATGGATTAATTTTCAGATTAAATCAAATTTTTAAAAGTTTAGAAACATTGTCATTACGAACATCCAATGCTTTAATTTTACATGATACCATAAAAATAATTATCGCAAATAAAGTTATTTAAATTAATTTCGTAATGAACCATCCCTATAAAAAATGTTTGTCTGATAAATATTAGGAATGGGATCAATTTACCGAATACTCGCATGCTATTATACAATATTTAAAGATGCGGAGATCAAGAATTTTTAACACATTATATGGTATATACATTACACAAAGCGAACATAGGCTTAAAACGAAGCTACACGTGTCAGGAAGATCGCTACAGAACCAGAATTATGGTGTCAAAATACAGTTATAATTTTGGTAAAAATTTTAATTTTGGTCATGTGATATTATAACAGCCAATCAGAATTTCGGAATAGTTTCAGCATTTCGGAATTAAGTATTTTTCCTAAATTAATTTTACCATTTCGGTTTCAGCAAATGGTAAAATTCCCTAATTTCGGGTGGCAGCTTTGGTGAATACCATTTCCCCAGATAAGTTTCAGAACAAAAAGTTTTGAAACTTTCTTAAAAAACGGTTTTTAACAATAAAAAATGTTTTTTTTTTATTTATTTTTGTAGGATATTAGTTCTGGCATGGATATCGATATTCCAGGTAAAGTTTTGAAAATAATTTTTGAAACTTTCTTTAATAAAACATTTTTAATAAAATGTTTTTTTTGTTTGTATAGGAAATTGACTCCAGCGTGGACGCCAATATTCCAGTTAAGTTACAAAACTAAAGTTTTGAAACTTCTTTAAAAACGTTTTTTATATTAAAAAATGTTAATTTTTTTTATTTTTGTATAGGAAATTGGCTCCAACGTGAACAGGACCCCGAAATATATATGTAGAGGTCAGGTCCAGAAGTGGTCCAAAATACGCATTCTTTCAGGGCCGGAATTACGATAATTTCAGCCATTATCTAAATTAGGAAATATTATTTTGGCTGGGATTATCCATAAAAGGAATGATCTACATGATTTTTTGACTCATTATACGCAAACTCTGACCTGACCCTTTTATGTATATTTCGGGGTCCTACGTGAACGCTAATATTTCAGGTAAGTTTTGAAACTAAAGTTTCAAAACTTTAATAAAACGTTTTTTAATAAAAAAAACATTTTTTTTATTTTTATTTAGGAAATCGGTTTCAGCGTGGATACCATTTCCCCAAATAAGTTCAGAACAAAAGTTTTGAAACTTTCTTAAAAAACATTTTTTAACAATAAAAAATGTTTTTTTTATTTATTTTGTAGGATATTGGTTCCGGTGTGGATACTGATATTCTAGGTAAGTTTTGAAACAAATATTTTGAAACTTCTTTAAAAACATTTTTATATGTTATTTTTTATTTTATTGTATAGGAAATTGGCTCCAACGTGGACACTGATATTCCAGATATGTTTCAAACTATTTTTGAAACTTCTTTAAAAAAAATGTTTTTTAACATTTTTTTTTATATTTAATTATAGGGCTATCAGTTCCAGCTTAGATACTGAAATCCAAGATAAGTTTCAAAAAATTTTGAAACTATAATAAAAAAACTTTAATTTTTAAGTTTTTTTTATTTTTTGCAGGGATCAGTTCTGACGTAAATACCGAAATCCCAAAGGTAAGTTTTGAAGAATCTTTTCAAAACTCTTTTTTTTAAAGGAACAATTTGCTAATCGTTTCTTTCTTTTTTTTGTAGGTACAGAAAAAACCAAGATTTGTAAGTATATACAAATCTTGGTTGTTTTTTTTTTGTTTTTTTTAATATTAATGAATGGTTACTAATAACCATTCTTTTCATTTTTTTTAGGTTTGAGTGGACTTCTAAAGATCAGAAAACCAAGATTCATAAGTATATATGAATCTTGGTTTTGTTTTTTTTATTTTTAATATTACAAATGGTTACTAATAACCATTCCTCTCTTTTTTTTATAGGTTGGGTGGAATTCTGACAAATAGATGAACCAAGATTCGTAAGTACAAATACGAATCTTGGTTTTTTTTATTTTTATTATATTTTTTTGATTTTTTTTTTCTTCTATTTTGTAGGTTTTGGCTTTGTATTGGATATATAGGTGAATTTCGAAGCAAAGGAATCAAAACTCTTTAAAATAAATTATTTTTTTTTAAATTTTTTTATTTTTTTTTCTATTTTGTAGATTCAGCTTTCAGTTCTTGGGCTTTGGATATATAGGTGAATTTCGAAGTTAAAACTTTGAAATTTTTTTTTAAAACAAGTATTTTTTTAATTTTATTTTAATTTTTTTTTCTATTTTGTAGATTTTGGCTTTCGGTTCTTGGGCTTTGGAGTTTAGATGTACGGTAAGTTTTGAAGTAAAACTTTGAAACTTTTTTTTTAAGAAATTTTTTTTTAAAAGAATTAAAAATTTTTTTATTTTTTTTCTTCTATTTTATAGGTTTTAGCTTTCAGTTCTTAGGCTTTGGATATATGGGTGAGTTTCAAAGTAAAACTTTAAAACTTTTTTTTAAAAAAATTATTTTTTTTAATTTTATTTTAATTTTTTTTTCTATTTTGTAGATTTTCGCTTTCGGTTCTTGGGTTTGGATATATGGGTAAGTTTTGAAGTTAAAATTTCAAAACTTTTTTTAAAACAAGTATTTTTTTAATTTTATTTTGATTTTTTTTTCTATTTTGTAGATTTCAGCTTTTGGTTCTTGAGCTTTGGATATACGTAGATAATTTTGGATGAGTGGATGATGGTGGATGATGTTAGATGATGGATGGTGGATGATGAATAGTAGATGATGGATGTGGACGATGGTTGATGATGGTTGACAATGGTTGACAATGGATAGTGAATGGTAAATGGTAAATGGTAAATGGTAGATGGTAGGTATAAATAGACAGATACTGTAGATACTTGATATTTAATATGATAATTTTTAATGTGTAATTTTAATTAAGTGAAAAAACAAAATATAATTTATTTATTGTTATTGCAAAATTAAAATAAGCTAAATACATAAAAATCATTAACAATTAGACAAAATTAGACTTAATTTCACCAACATTTGGCAATTTGAAATTTAGACGAATGACTAGTAAAAGGTTGATGAATAGTTTATTTCCGATTTTTTAATGAATTTTTGCCAATTTGTGATTGCCAAGTGGCAGGCGAACTGTGCGAATTGTCCATAATAATTTTGACAATTTTTTTGGCAATGATCGGCTAAAATTAGATCAACTTTCGTCCAACATTCGTCAATTTGAAATTTGGACGAAATGGACTATTCTGACCAATGATCTGCACTGGATCTACAAATTAATTGAGCAATGGACTGGCAATTAAATTTTATTTTTATTTTTTTGGTTTCTCACACTAAATTTCAATTTAATAATGCACAAGATCTAAAAAGTGTTAGTTAATTGAATAAATTTCATAAATCAACTACATAATATTATAAAATAATAAAAATAAACTTTATACATTAACTATATATTAACAGCTATGGAGATAATACCTATTTTATTCAACTTTCTACAGTTAGAATATATGTGTTGTATATGGTTTCACAAACACATATTATGCATGATGCAAAGTATTTATTTATTATCTAAATAATAAAAAAGAATTTGTATAAAGTTATGCAAATTTAACCAGAAAAAATTTTGTTTCAAATAATTTTGTGATATGATCGACATTGAAATATTACTAAAAAGTTCTATTACATAATGCTTACGTACATAAGTAATTTATGCAAATTTTGTGTTACCTGTTACTTGTACGTTACATAGTTTATTATAAATAAGATTTTATTAGAAAAAAATTTTTGAGCTTTTGAAAACAATGCTTTCTCAAAATATATCTTTGACAGAAAATAATATTCTGAAATATTTAGAAACCAATTTTACAAATTGGACAAGTGGAAATGAAAAAATTGATGACTTTATTCAAGAAAGGCAATTAAAAATTAATACCTATAATGATTTAGTGCTTGAATGGATACCATACAATCAGTTTAATGAAATTAAAGAAATAGGAAAAAATGGCCTTGTAACAGTATATTCAGCAGTATGGAAGGATGGTCCATTATACAAGGAATATAATGATAGTAGTTATACAAGAGATTCAAATAAAAAAGTTGCATTAAAATGTTTACATAATTCACAAGAACCAATTAATGCTTTAATAAATGAGGTACGAAATTTCTTCAAATATTTAATAAATACTTATTGTAATTAATATATTTAAATCTCTTTTATTTATATTTAGGTCAAAAAATATCCAACAATATATAATGCATTTCAAGAATTATATGGAATTTCTCAAAATCCAGATACAGAAGATTATATTTTAGTTCTAACCAATTTTATAAACTTGGCAAATTGTAACAGTGGAAATGAAAAAATTGATGATTTTATTCAAGAAATGCGATTAAAAATTGATAACTATGATGATATAGTGTTTGAATGGATACCATACAATCAGTTCAATGAAATTAAAGAGTCAGGCAAAAATGGTCTTATAACAGTATATTCAGCAGTATGGAAGGATGGTCCATTATATAATAAATATAATAATAGTAGTTATACAAGAGATTCAAATAAAAAAGTTGCATTAAAATGTTTACATAATTCACAAGAACCAATTGATGCTTTAATAAATGAGGTACGAAATTTCTTCAAATATTTAATAAATACTTATTGTAATTAAAATATTAATCTCTTTTATTTATATTTAGGCTAAAAAATATCAAATAAAGCATAAAGCATTTCAAACATTATATGGAATATCTCAAAATCCAGATACAGGAGATTATATTTTGGTTCTAACCAATTTTATAAACTTAGCAAATTGTAACAGTGGAAATGAAAAAATTGATGATTTCATTCAAGAAAAGCAATTAAAAATTGATAACTATGATGATATAGTGTTTGAATGGATACCATACAATCAGCTTAATGAAATTAAAGAGTCAGGCAAAAATGGTCTTATAACAGTATATTCAGCAGTATGGAAGGATGGTCCATTATATAATAATAGTAGTTATACAAGACATTCAAATAGAAAAGTTGAATTAAAATGTTTACATAATTCACAAGAACCAATTGATACTTTAATAAATGAGGTACGAAATTTCTTCAAATATTTAATAAATACTTATTGTAATTAATATATTTACAATTTCTTTTATTTATATTTAGGCTAAAAAATATCAAGTAAAACATAAAGCATTTCAAGTATTATATGGAATATCTCAAAATCCAGATGCAGGAGATTTTATTTTAGTTCTCAACTGGACAAGTGGAAATGAAAAAATTGATGATTTTATTCAAGAAATGCGATTAAAAATTGATAACTATAATGATATAGTGTTTGAATGGATACCATATGATCAGTTTAATGAAATTAAAGAATCAGGCAAAAATGGTCTTATAACAGTATATTCAGCAGTATGGAAGAATGGTCCATTGTACAAAAAGAATATATGGAGTAATTATACAAGAAATTCAAATAAAGAAGTTGCTTTAAAATGTTTAAATAATTCACAAGAATCCATTGATTTCTTAATAAATGAGGTATGAAATTTCTTCAAATATTTAAGTACAATTTAATTAATATATTAACAATCTCTTTTATTTATATTTAGGCTAAAAAATATCAAGTAAAGCATAAAGCATTTCAAGCATTATATGGAATATCTCAAAATCCAGATACAGGAGATTATATTTTAGTTCTTATCTGGACAAGTGGAAATGAAAAAATTGATGATTTCATTCAAGAAAGGCAATTAAAAATTGATAACTATGATGATATAGTGCTTGAATGGATACCATACAATCAGTTTAATGAAATTAAAGAGACAGGCAAAAATGGTCTTATAACAGTATATTCAGCAATATGGAAGGATGGTCCATTATACAAGAAGAATTGGGATAAAAATTATACTAGAGATTCAAATAAAGAAGTTGCTTTAAAATGTTTACATAATTCACAAGAATCCATTGATTCTTTAATAAATGAGGTATGAAATTTCTTAAGTATTTTTTTTAATTAATATATTTACAATCTCTTTTATTTATATTTAGGCTAAAAAATATTCAACAAGCTATAGAGCATTTCAAGTGTTGTATGGAATATCCCAAAATCCAGATACAGGAGATTATATTTTTGTTCAAAATTATATAGTAAACTTGACAAATCGGATTAGTGGAAATGAAAAAATTGATAATTTCATCCAAAAAAGGCAATTAAAAATAAATGACTATAATGATATAGTACTTGAATGGATACCATATAACCAGTTTAATGAAATTGAAGAGTTAGGCAAAAATGATCTTATAACAGTATATTCAGCAATATGGAAGGATGGTCCATTATATAAGAAGCATTGGCAGGATAAAAATTATACAAGAGATTCAACTAAAGAAGTTGTTTTAAAATGTTTACATAATTCACAAGAATCCATTGATTCTTTAATAAATGAGGTATTAAATTTCTTCAAATATTTAAATACTTTTTTAGATAATATATTTACAATCTCTTTTATTTATAATTAGGCTAAAAAATATCCAACAAGAATTAGAGCATTTCAATTATTGTATGGAATATCCCAAAATCCAGATACAGGAGATTATATTTTAGTTCAAAATAATTCTATAAATTTAGTAAAATGGATCAGTGGAAATGAAAAAATTGATGACTTCATTCAAGGAAGGCAATTAAAAATAAATGGCTATAATGATATAATACTTGAATGGATACCATACAACCAGTTTGATGAAATTAAAGAATTAGGCAAAAATAGTCTTATAACGGTATATTCAGCAATATGGAAGGATGGTCCACTATATAAGAAGTATTGGCAGGATGAAAGTTATACAAGAGATTCAACTAAAGAAGTTGCTTTAAAATGTTTACATAATTCACAAGAATCCATTGATTCTTTAATAAATGAGGTATGAGATTTCTTCAAGTATTTAAATACTTTTTAATTAATATATTCACAATCTCTTGTATTTATATTTAGGCTAAAAAATATTCAATAAATCATAATGCATTTCAAGTATTGTATGGAATATCTCAAAATCCAGATACAGGAGATTATATTTTGGTTCAAAATAATTATATATGGACAAGTGAAAATGAAAAAATTGATGACTTCATTCAAGAAAGGCAATTAAAAATAAATAACTATGATGATATAGTATTTGAATGGATACCATACAACCAGTTTAATGAAATTAAAGAGACAAGTAAAAATGGTTTTATAATAGTATACTCTGCAATATGGAAGGATGGTCCATTATATAAAAAATATAACCAGAGTAATAATTATACAAGAGATTCAAATAAAGAAGTTGCTTTAAAATGTTTATATAATTCACAAGAATCCATTGATTCTTTAATAAATGATGTATGAAATTTCTTCAAATATCTAACTGTTTTTATTAATTAATATATTTACAATCTCTTATTTATATTTAGGCTAAAAAATATCCATCAAATCATAAAGCATTTCAAGCATTGTATGGAATATCTCAAAATCCAGATACAGGAGATTATATTTTTATTCAAAATAATTATATATGGACAAGTGGAAATGAAAAAATTGATGATTTTATTCAAGAATTAAAAATTAATAACTGTGATGATATAGTATTTGAATGGATACCTTACAACCAGTTTAATGAAATTAAAGAAATAGGAAAAAGTGGCCTTGTAACAGTATATTCAGCAATATGGAAGGATGGTCCATTATATAAGAAAAGTGATATGTGGAGTGAAAATTATACAAGAGACTCAAATAAAGAAGTTGCTTTAAAATATTTGCATAACTCACAAAATTCTGTTGACCTTTTAATAAATAAGGTATGTCATTTTAATAAATATTCATAAACTTAATATAGTATATTTATCTCTCCTTATTTATATTTAGACTAAAAATTACTTAACAAAATCAAAAATATTTGACAGAGTAATTTGTGATATATATGGAATATCTCAAAATCCAGATACAAATAATTATATTTTAGTTCTGGGATGGACAAGTGGGAATGAAAATATTGATAATCTTATTCAAGAAATACAATTACAAATAAATAATCACAGTGATATAGTATTTGAATGGATACCATATAATCAGTTTAATAACATTAAGGAAATAGATAAAGGTGGATTTGCTACAGTATATTCTGCAAATTGGAAAAATGGTCCATTAGTATGTGATACAAATAAAAAAATGTATAAAAGGAATCCAAATAGAGTAATTGCCTTAAAATGTTTACATAATTCACAAAATATTACCAACAAATTTTTAAATGAGGTATGAAATTTCTTTAATAATTTATTTGTAGTAATAAATATGATGTTAATTTGAGCATAATATATTAATTATTTCCATTATAAATACATTTAATAGGTCAAAGAATACTCAATAAATAAAAGTAGCAATATTCTTAATGTATATGGAGTATCTCAAAATCCAAATACAAAAGAATATATTATGGTTCTCCAGTATGCAAAAGAAGGCAATTTTAATCATTGGATAAATAAAAACTATGAACATTTTAATTGGAAAGATAAATTATCTGCATTGCTTGATATTATTAATGGTCTTAAAGAAATTCATCAAAAAAATATAGTTCATTGTGATTTTCATACAGGAAATATATTATTTTTAAGTAATATAAATATTTTTGGTAATTGTATATCAATTTCAGACATGGGATTGTGTGGAGAGGTTGGTAATATAGATGAAACTAAAATTTATGGAGTTATGCCTTATGTGGCTCCTGAAGTATTAAGAAGAAGGTCTTATACCAAAGAATCAGATATCTATAGTTTTGGTATGATAATGTATTTTGTAGCAACTGGAAGACAACCTTTTTACAATCGTGCACATGATCATCTTCTTGCATTAGATATTTGTAAAGGACTTAGACCTGAAATAAATGAATTAGAAGCACCAATATTTTATATTGATGTAATAAAAAAGTGTTGGGGTTTAGACAAGAATAATAGACCAAATATTTTTGAAGTAGAAGAATTGATCAAATCATATCATAAATCATATGGAGGGGATCTTTTTATAGTAGAAAATGAAGATATTAAAACACAATTCGAGAAAGCAGAAGAATATAGAAAAGCAAATCTTTCATTTATTAAAAATTACCAAATAACTACCCATCCTCAAGCTACTTACACATCTCGATTACTTAATCCTTTTACAGAAGATCTTCCAGAATATGACGATAATTCTCAATGTTTAGATCAAGTAATCTAAATCTAATCCAAATGAAACATATGATAATAAAGAATTTTAAAAATTTATACACTTGATATACATTTGTATTGCTGTTATTCTATAGAATTTGCAATTAATTTACAAAAATAAAATCAGTTTATAATTGGACATATTGGTGTAATATTTCCTTAAACATTTGCTGGAATGATGTACTTTAATATTGACGTTTTATGATAAAATATGTGTGAATTCATATTGTTTATTTTATTTACTTCCTCATGCACTCCTTGCTTATATTTATAAAAGTATAGCATATGAAAATTATAACTATTTGATGACAAATAAACACAAAAAAGGAAGTAAGGATTTTAAAATTTAATCTTTAATACAATGTAAATAAAATATTCATTTGAACTGAGTTTACAAATAAATCCTAGGAACAGTAATAACGTTTAATATTTTTAGATTTATATTTTATAATATAGAGTTTTGGGATACAAAATATCACAAGTAAGTATATACTGTATGTATTGCCTAGTACGTCAATAAAACATAAATCAACTAGAACAATATTCTCCAATAGAAATTTATTTTATAGCTTCTATTAAAGATCCCTAGATATATTGTATAATATTATAAATATATACTGCTGTATAATTATCAGTTTGTATTATTTTTTAATTATCTAATACAATAAGAATTTAATTGCATTATCAAAAAGAATATGAACATAGATCAGACCTAGCAATAAATATATTAAGAAGATGCAGTAGCTCTTACTAAAAAAGAGAATGTGTATCCCTATGAAAAAAGTCTGTGTGATTTTTGTTGAAAAATCATTCAATTAAATTCACTACGATTTCTGTATATTTGACCATACAATAATTGTGCTAAAAATTGCAATAAATCACACAATTATTGCATGGTAATTCATTCAATAATTATCCTATTTTTGACTCAAATTTTAGGCCATATTTTAGGAATTATAGGTTAAATTTTACAGTAATAACAGGCAATTTATAAAGTGAATTATGAATTTTTATTGACTTAAAATATAAAAAATATACACAATATTTCATAAATAAAATACTAAATTTGATATAATCATAAATATAAAAATTTGTAAGAAAATAAAATAAAATAAAGTATGTTAATAACATGAAAGTAAATTAGTAGTATCAAAGAAGAAAGTAAATTATTAGTGTTAGTAATAAAAAAAAAGTATGAAGTTAGTGAAGAAAGCAAGTTAGTAACATTAAAATGTAAAAAGTTAGGAAAATAAAAAGATAAAGAACACAAGTTTTCTTACCTGATATTTTAAAAGAAAGTTGAAGAAAAGTTAAAAGGTTAAAAAAACAAACAAAAACATTTCGCGTCATATTTATTTTGACGATCAGATCACGTGATCAACATATATAATTTAAGAGTTAATTTTTACCGCATAATTCTGGCCAAATTATAATTCCAGTCAGAACTAATTGTGTAACCTAATAAAAAGTTTTTGACTTTTTTTTAGTTACAAGATAATACAAAAATTTCACCAATGGGTCCGAAAGATGCCCGTTTATAAGCAAATATGCAGTTGAAATTTGTGTAACCTTACTGCATAAATCACTTTACTTAGGAAAATCTATTTGTAATGGTTAAAAGTGGTCTATTTGACCCTAAAAGTGGTCAAATGTAACCATACAGGTAAGATGGAAAGTAGTATAGTAGGATTACTCAAAAATTGCTTTCTGTATCCTAAATTTAAGTCTATTTTCAAGTTGTACAATAATCACAATTTTTATTGTACAAAAATTGAATGTTTTCTGTATCCTAAATTTAAGTTGTATAAAAATCACACAAAAATTGAACATTTTCTATATTCTAAATTTAAGTTGTACAAAAATTGCATACTTTTAATATGCTTTGAAAAACTTCATAGCTATTTTTATCCAAAAATCTGCAATAATTGTACAATTTCCACATGGACTTGAACAAATATCGTACAAAAATTGGATGATTTTTTTTCATAGGGGTAACTTTAGTGTTCTACAATTGCAATATATATAATCATACCAAACGTATGACAATGTAATCTGACAATATATTTTAAATCATTCTCTTTAGATACATAAAGTGTTACACTTTGCATTTTCTGTATAATCAACTTGCATCTTCTGATACTCAGCACATATAGTGGCTTCAAATAACTACTCTTATTATTTGTTTATTTAGTTATAATACTGGTAGTGCTCTGAATCATCACAAAAAACTTGTAAAAGTAAAAAATCATTCAGTAACTGAACTAATATAAACTGATCGCAATGAAGGATTCAAGCATAGGCTACACCCACCACCGAGGCACTGACTATCTAGCTTTAAAAATTTAAGCATCCAAATGGATACTCAGATGTATGATCGAAAGTAAAAAAAATAAAAGGAAAGGGACTACTGAACTAAAAAATACATTTCACTCCTCCTTAAAACCTGCTACATTTCTACGAAAAGAAAAAAAAAGAAATTAAAACTCTAGCTACTTAATTTGTGAATCTAAGGTTAGTATCACTTAGTAGAACTGAAGGTTTTTTCTATCCCATTATTCAAGTTGTTTTAATAACTTTTGAAGATTGACTGCGCATTAAATCAGCACCTTTGGATAAAGATAATGCAATGATCATAAATGGTAACTTGAATCTACTGTGGCAAGATCACTAAGTGAAATGATACCACAATTGGCGAAACTCTGAAGATATTAAAACGTGAGAGAAGATCAATAAATTTACTCACATGGCTATGAAGAATAACGCAGTTCACAACAACTAATTAGGGCTAAATAAGGGCGTAAGGGCGTTAATAATAACTTACCAATGTAAACCCAAAGACTTCAGAGTGCTTTAAAAATGACGTTAAGATTTGGAAGCGCAGTAAATAAGAAATACGACGCAGTAAGTCACATGATTTGGGCGCAGCAGTCACGTAAGGTATAATTAAGCAAAACAAATATAACAATCTGAAGTAATTATTAACACGATGAAAAATGTGACACGTAATCTATTTGCGTTATCGAAAAATATATCTTAATGAACATATTAAAACAAAACAGGAAATATTACATCAATATCAGATATCATTCTCGTATCCTGCTATAAAATTAGCTTATGTGCTGTCTTTTAAAGTTGGAAAAAATTTATTTGATTTTACTTTGTTACCGAATAGTTTTATAACAATAAGTAGAATTGTTAAATTCAACGAAGAAAATACAAAAAAAAAATTCTCGATATTAAGCATAACATGACATTTATCTGGAGTAATTTACAGAAACTATTAAAATGAGGAGCACGTATAATAATGTGGTGCTATTATTATGTAATCATATCAGTAAAAGGTTTAGAACGGATTTTGGTTTCACAATTTTGTTTCACAATTATTGTGAAAAAAAAAATCATTCTTAACAAAACTACGTGACGCAGAAATTTCAACGAAAAATATTATTTTCATCATATACACCGTTGACTAATGTATAAAATCAATGTGACCTATCTAAAAAACTGTAGTAAAAAATTTTTTGTACTACATTAAAGAAAATAGCATGATATTTTTCTTTTTAAGACCTTGTGTAGCCTACTTCCCATTTTTACTGGCCGGAATTATTAAAATTGGACCGAATTTATAGGTATAAAACCGGATGCAATTTGTAAAAAACTGGTTTGAAAAGGGGTTGAAAAAGAAAAAATTAAATTTAGTTGTCAAAAATGAAACTGGTTCCTAAGTCACTCCTCTCTATGTAACGGCTAAAACATTCAGTTCATTAACATAAATGATAGTAAAAGTGCGCGCAATTTGTATGATTTTTTTGTAGGACTACCCTTTATAAATTGGATAACTATTGTAGCCTAAGAAAATGCAATAGTTTATTTTTATTTATTATTATTATCAATGTATATTTTTTTAAACATTGTTACTCGTCAAGAAGTAGCCATTTCTTAGTATAATTAAAACAATAAATAATTATCAGCGCGATAAGGGATTAAAGTTGGGGAGAATTTTATTTGATTATACTTTTATCACATGAGTAAAATTAATAAAATTTTTCTCTTAATTGTTTTCACATTTTATTATTATTTTTTTACTTACATTAAGCGTCTAACTGAGTACCTTGCCTCACTACTAATTACATTTTATTTATTTTTTTTTTACTTAAACTAAGAATCGAACCGGATACCTCAAGATAAACTATTAATATATTAAGTCTCCCAAATAAACGTACAATAACAAGTGAATTACACATTAGTTAATTCAAAAATCGATATAAAAAGTCACATGATATTTAATTCTGACGATAGCGAATTTTATATTTGTAAAAGATAAAGTTTGGTTATTTTACAAATATAAAAATTCGCAAAAAAAAATTATTTTCATATTACACTAATATTTAAGATTATAATTTAATTCGGAATATTCCTTAATTAATTTCGGTATATTTGGCGTTTATTACGTTTATTATTATTGTAATCATATCAGTAAAAGGTTTAGAATGGATTTTGGCTTCACAGATCACAATTTGATTTCACAATATTTATATATTGTGAAAAAAATCGAGAATAAAAAAATGAAATTACGCAGGCGAAGAAGTTTCAACGAAAAATTGTTATTTTTTATTTTATTTTATTTTAATGACATTTTTTGTATCATATTATGGAAAAAAAAAGAACGAAAAAAAACTGTATAAGATGAAATTTTTTGTAGTAAGTCCATGTTGATGTTTGATACTAACTTCAAAGATATTGAAAGGATTAATTTAAAAATTATTTTCTTATAAAAACTTGGAATGTTATATTATCTTTTCCTAGTTTTTCCGCATCCCCTAGTTTTTTTTCACCTGTTTTCCTTTATAATTCTATATTTATTTCAAGTTTTCCCTTCCTTTTTTATTGGAAAAGGAAACTCAATTATGGTGTAAAACACCAAATATTTTTTTTTCGTATTTCTCTATTAGTTTCTCTCGTTCATTATTAAGAAGGATATTCTGATTATTTAAATACGAAGCCAGCAAAGTAATCCATAGAATTTCTCACATAGACCGCAGATTTATTATCAAGGAATTTCTTTCTACAATTATTCTCTCGTTAACATACATTATGACGTGACCGCTTAAAAGTGACTTTAATTCGAATTTCATATACTTTATAATTAAAAACAATCCCATTAAAAAAAAATTCGTTAATTGTTAATATCAAAAATTTAATGTGAATTTATTAGTCATAAACAATATCCATTGACTAAAAAGAATCTCTAAACATTGAAAAAGCAGCAGGACATAGTTCTAATCTGATTATAGTCTTGACCCAAACCAAAAAAGAATAAACAATACTTTTTGGATTAAAAAAAAATTCCAAAAATTTTGATAAATTCTGATTAAAAATCCCCTAAAAAAATCCAATAAAAATAAAAGAAACAATAATAATAAAAGGAGGGATAAAAAAATTAATAAAAAAAGACTAAAAAGGTAGTTTTGTAAAAACTGAAAAATAAATTATTATAGAAATGGTTAGTCGTGGTACAGTAATTAAGAGCTGGAAATGGCGCAAATAAAATGCAATTAATAAGAAAAATTATACTTTTTTTTTTGTTAG